CCATTTGTAGCATATAAAACGTATATTTTTAAAAGAATACTAACATTCTTCAATTTTGCTAGTATGCACATTTTCAATCTTAAATAACCTGTGTGATTTGGAATTCACATGCATTTAAATAGCTGTCTTTTATTACAGAATTTTTTAAAGACTGGGATTCTATACTATGCATGTATTTCTCTCAAATGAATGCTACATATCTTACTCATAAAAAAGCAAAGTAGTGGAAAAAATTAATAAAGATAACAGATTCCTTTGTCATTCAGATTTTTAGAAATCATTATAGCTAATGTAACCTTATAATCCTAATTTGTCATTTACATAAAGCATTTCACCTGTACATGACCAAGAACTAGTTCATTAAAATTTGCTTCCAAGTAGATATGCGTACACAAAACATAAACTTTAGCCCCCAATTTCATCATGTCTGAAACTTTTAATAATTTTATTTTCATTCCTTTCTCTCAAGTTTGTAATAGTATAGAGTTCCTCATCTATTATGTACCCGACAGTGGGCTTGATAGGATTTAATTTCTTGATTTACTACCAATCATTAATCATGACTCGTTCTCAGCTGCTCACTGTGCATGCCCAGATCTGTCTTAAAACCGAAAAGTCTTAGTTCACTGGGTGACCATGGGACAGTGTCCACCACCCTGTGAACAAACTGTTCGAGCCTGTGAGACCAAAAAGACAATTGGTGCATATTGTTTAGAAATAATTACAAATGCCAATCATTAAAGACAGAGAACTGCTTTTTATTGTATATTTTTGCCCTTTGCCCATATTTTTGCTGTTTTTTTGTTTTGATATTTAGCACATGGTCATTATCAGCAGTTTTCTTGTACAGCCATGTGCCACTTAACAATGTTTGGTCAAGGACAAACTGCATCTAAGATGGTGTCCACTTATGACTAGTGGACACCGTTCCATAAGATTATACTACTGTAATTGTACTGTGCTTTTTGTATACTACAATGGTACTTTGTATCTAGATACACAAATACCATTGTTTTACAAGTGCCTACAGCATTCAGTACAGTTACTGGCTTTACTGGTTTGTAGTCCAGACTACAGTATACAATAGGCTATACCATATAGCCTAGGTGTGTAGTAGGCTGTGATGGTTAATACTGCTTGTCAACTTGATTGGATTGAAGAATTCAAAATATTAATCCTGGGTTGGTTTGTGAGGGTGTTGCCAAAAGATATTAGCAATTGTTTCGGTGGGCTGCGGAAGGCAGATCCACCCTTAATCTGGTGAGTACAACCTAATTAGGTGCCAGTGAATATCAAGTAGGCAGAAAAATGTGAAAAAGAGAGATGGGCCTAGCCACCCAGCCTACATCTTTCTCCTGTGCTGGATGCTTCCTGCCCTCAAACATCGGACTCCACGTTCTTCAGTTTTGGGACTTAGACTGGCTCTCCTTTCTCCTCAGCTTGCAGACAGCCTATTGTGGGACCTTGTAATCATGTAAGTTAAGACTTAATAAACTCCCCTTTATATGTATATAATTTATATGTATATAAAATTAGTTCTGTCCCTCTAAGGGAACCCTGACTAATACATAGGCTATGCCACATAGATTTGTGTATGTATTTGCTAGGATGCTCACACAGTATCAAAATTGTCTAATGAAGAATTTCTCAGAATGCATCCCTGTTGTTAAAATATGCATGACTGTATTTAAAAAAAATTGGTTATGCTTTCTGAAGTAGCAATGTCAACTACAACACAAATTAAAAGTAAGCCTCAGAAAAATAGCAATTTTTGTGTTTGCCTCTCAAAATATTTATAAAAATTACCTTTAAAACAACATTTTAAAAGATAAAAAGATACAAAGAGATGAAATAAGTAGATGTAAGAAAAAAACGTAATAAATGGACATAAGAAAAAATAAAAAATATTTTTATTTTTCCAAAATAATAATAATAACGGTTTAATAAAAGAAATTCTGTTAACATTTGTTATTCATCTGAGAGAATTGAAGGATAATTTATTTTCTTTTCTCGCTAGTACTTTATATTTTATCATTCCTGTTTCATTCTGAATTTTATTTCTCATGGATTTTTTTCTGCTTAAATACAAACTTGTTCAGATTATATTTTCCATGCAGGTTATCTAGTAGGACTGAGAAAAAAAGGAAATTATATTATTCAGCCACTTAGTACGTGATGTTCAAATTGCTTTCATTTACTTCTTTATTAATAATTTTTAGAAGTGAGAGACCAAGAAAATAAAAAATAATCAGATTGGTAATCTTACTTTTCCTGCAAGACGGAAGATGCATACATGACTTTCTTGTTTATTAACTCAGGACACATGACATTTTGACCATTTGGTCATCTGTTGCAGATTCACAGTAAACTTCATTTCTAAATTTCTAAATGTTCCATAACTACAAAGAGCTATATGCCTAAAAAAAAGTCTGAGAGGGATTTTTGAAAAAAATGTGCAGAGAAAGCATCAGGTTTTCCTCACCTCAGCACTCTAAATAGTTATGCTGACATTTAAAGTACCATTGCATATAGTAGCATAGTGCTTGAGGATACCCATTATGAAGATACAAATTTGCAGATATGTTTCATATGTGTTATAACGTATTTCTCCAATGTAAATATGTTTTGTCACTATGACTCCATGTAATCACTGATATGCCATGAAGAGTGGCCTGCAGATAACTGGAAGGCTGTTGGTGGCAGTCAGAGAACTAAAACTCACTCATATGATTCTAACAGGTTTAGAAAAGTTTCCAGTGAACTGATCATAGAGCAAAGAAGAGCAAGCAGAATTTTTTCTTCAACACCACTCAGCTGAACTGTAGAGTTCAATGCCCACTCTAGTAATATTCCAAATGCTTTTGGAAGTAGTAGAAATGTTATGTTTCTAGGCACTGTCAAGATAGACAGGATGAGACCTGTGTGTGTTTGTATGTATGCATGTGTGTGTATTTGCATGGGCATATTAGTGTTTATGTACCTGAGTATGTATGTTATGTGTGTTTCTTTGTGTGTGTGTATTAAGGAGAGAAAGGTTGATGGATTACTTCTTAAATGCAATTATTTTTTACTTGCCAGTAATTCTAAACAACATTAGAGCAGAATGATTCATTCTTAATACTCATGAAAAGAAAAAGAATGTGTTTAAATGCACTGTCTATGGAAAAATACATGATGTAGGTGATCATAGAAAAATATATGCTTTAAAATATATTCTTAGTGGAGATATCACAGATAGAAGTCAAGCAACTATTGTATTTGTCTTTAAACTGAGATATGTGCCATGGCTTGAGTATGGTTTAAACCCACCAAAACTCATGTTGAGGCTTGGTTCCAAGTGCAACAGTTTTGAGAGGTGGTGGGAACTTTAAGAGATATTTATGTCATGAGGGGTCCCTCCTTCTGAAGAGATTAATGTCCTTTTGCTAGAGAGCATGTATGCTTGCAGGTCCGGGTTAGTTACCACAAAAACAGGTTGTTATAAAATGAGATTGTCCCTTGTATTTTGCCTTTTGTACAGGCTTCCAGCATGTAATTCCATCCACCATGTTAGAGGGCAGCATAAGGCCTTCACCAGGTACAACCACCCTGCGTTGAACTTTCCAGCCTCCAGAACTGTGAGCCAAATAAAACTTCTTTTCCTTATACATTGCCCAGTCCCAAATATTTTGTTATATCAACAGAAAACAAATTAAGATAATATGCTAATGGTTCTTCAAGTAAATTTATCAATATGGTTATTTGTAATCCCTGGTGTTAAGAGCATGGCACTAAAAGCTTCCCAAGACAGAAAATATTGGAAACATGTTATGAGGTAGAAAATTCTTCCTTAAACATGGCAAGATGTTTTTTCTGTTTTGGCATTTGCAATCATCTAGTCAGGAATAGCATCTGAAACTCATTGATATAGAATTCAATTTAAATTCTCAAAAATGAAATGAGAACACCTCACCGGAACAATACAAAACTAATAGGAATTGATATAACACTCAAATATTTTTTCTTTTTCTAGAAATGACTCTGATGTAGACAAAGACATCAGTTCACAGGGTGAACTGTGTCATAGGTAAAATTTAGAAAGTATATAGACATAGAATTATGCCTTAAAATTTGAAAAAAACAAATGAATCAAAAATATTACCACTACATGATTTGGTATCTAAAAGGCATAATAGTAATCCTTTAAATGTTCAGTATTTACACTTTTTATATTAACATGTAAACATGTCCTGGAATTGCATGTCCAGGGTCAACTAAGATCAAAATTATATTAGCTAACTACAGATTAATGCTAATGAATCAATGCAAATGTTCCGGGAAACATGGGTAGTCGAGAGGAAAACAAGGAACGGAAAAGGATTGCTACTGAGAAAATATAGGCCACTTAGAAAAAAACTATCCACTTTAAAATTTCATGGGGAAGCTTCTAATATTATACATTACTTCATTAAACATTTTTGGAATTCCATGTATGAAATGTTGTATTGGACCCAAATTGAAAAAGCGGTTTATAAAATATGGCGCTTATATAAAGTTTACCTCGTTTGTCAGAATAAGAAACATTCTGAAGGTCATCCTCCTCTCCCAGTATGATTATTTTTTATTCCACTAAAATCAGTTAATTTGGAAGAGAGTGAAACTGTATGAGAAAGGGTTGGTTGCAACCTCATCAAGCAATCAGACATGAGATCAACACAGCTGTTGTAACAGTCCCAGCTGGGAAGATTCTAGTCAGAAGAGGCCCGTCAGGGGCATGGGGCACAGGCGAATAAGGCATTGTTGTCACATGGAGTGATACCAGAAAAATTATTAATGTATTCCCTTAATAGATATTTGAAATCAGTGCCCTGCTCTTAAAGATCATAAAACAGTTTAATCTTAATACGGGATTCTGGCTATTCTTAAATCCCTTCCTTCAAATGCAAATACTATTTTCTTTGAAAATTGGGCATATAAAATCAGCTTTTGTGACTCAGAAGCAACATATACCATATTGCATATTAAGAGTTTGTGTATAATATATTTATTTGCATACAGAAATATGTATTTCTATTGTACATTTTATTATTTATAGAATATATATATATATATATATATTTAGCTCATAGCATATTCCAGGAAGATACATTAAATATGCACACATTTCATGCTACAGCGTGCACCCTTTAAGAGAAGCATTTTTAAGAGGCATGGTATTGAATATACATGCTGAGAATACACTTTGCACAATTTCATCCAGCTTTGGGTGCTTTCCTAATCTATTAGCAATACCAGTGCTATGGTTGTTGAAAGGGATATTATCAAAGTGGGGTGAGTGAGGAAACTATCAATGAACTAAGTAGGAGAAAATAAAAACAGACTGCATTGCTGAGTAATTGTTGCCATCATTTTGAATTCCCATCTCTCCCAGTGTCAGATCTTCAGGATCAAAAAAGCAATGGATGAACAAAGAGCAGGAGTATGTTGACCCTCCAGCCTGTACATTTGAAACCAGAAAGTTTTTCCCTTGTGGCTTCTCGTATTGATTACTGTGTCCTAATACTTGGGAGCTGGCATTAAATTATGATGAACTGGTAAAAGGGAAATCATTTCTTTTTTTCCAAGAAATGAGCAGACATTTTCCATATTCTTAATCTCTTCTTATAAAATCACTCTGGAATATCTGCATTATTGCTATAAGGAGAGAAGAAATAAAGGCCTTACAGATATTCATCTTTCCAGTAAATGCAAAAGATAAATGATATTGTTTCTGAGAGAGACTCTTAATATTATTTGAAAAGAAAAATTGTAGCTCCAATAGGAACTGACCATATCAACTACAAATATTTTGATGGCCAACTACTGCAACCTCAATTGACAGGATTTATGGCAATCATAACTGAACATTAAGACGCTGGGGAAAAGATGGGTTATATGCATAATCTGGTGGGTTTTGATATATAGATGTGGCCTGAGTTCCCAATCTGTGACTGACACATACACCAGATTCGAGAGAAAAGTGTTCCTGATACATGATTGGTGAGTATTACCTTTTCAGGTGAGCAATTTGCATTGATATTCTAAAAATGATGCAGGATTATTTTCCCATTAATAAGAGGCAAGCTTTAGAAATCCCTTAAAGTAGACAAGAGTTTCTCAACCTTGGCATTAGTGACATTTCGAGCCAAATAATATTTGTTTAAAGGGAGTAGTGGAAAATGTCCTGTGCATTATAGGGTATTTAGCAGCATTCCCAGCCTCTACGCACTAGATACCATTAGCCTTCCTCTCAGCTGTGGCAACCAAAAATGTCTCTATACATTGCTAAGTGTCCCCTATCAGAGGGAGGGGAATTGTCTCTGTTTGAGAGTCACTGAAATAGAAAAATCCAGCAGTGGTTAATAAAAATCCTTGAATATAATCTCCATATCTCTCCAATCATCTATCCTTTCCCTTATTCCTTCATTTTTCTGATCTGTTTGACAGTTTCCATGGTGTCAGTCTATCTTCAATTTCTTTCTTTAACTTGATAGTTTCTCTTTCGATAAGGTTGCGGTGGCTGTGGCAAGGATCAAGAACACAGAGAAGAAAAGGGAGGATACAACAGTAGTGGAGACAAAGACAGCTTGACTCATGGTGAGTTGTTAGAGCAAACAAACAAAGACCCGAAATCCTGAATCCTTGACGTCAAGGGTTCTTCCCAACTGAAGCCGAATCTACATCATAATACAATAAATTAAAGAGGGAAATATTTGGCTAGTCAATTCTCTGGTTTTCAGAAAGTTGAGGAGCCCATTGTCTTGATGTTATTTCCACTCAATTGATTCATTTATTTGAAGAAACAATGTGAACATAAATATGAATTTAAATCTAAAAGTTCATGTTGAAGTAACTGTAGTAACGGAATCTATATAAACAGATGCTGTCGGTTTAAATATGGAAAATTTCTTTGGGGGCTAATGACTGAAGTTATTTAAACAGGAAAATGTTTTTATGAAGGATAATCAAATATAAATACTGCTGTCAATTTGCTTCTTACTAACTAACTTACAACTTTTTTGTCATTTTTTTCCTCATGCTATTTTTCCCCTTAACTCCAAATTGTTGAGGTGGCCTCAATGAGGCTCATCATTCAAAATAACTCTTATAAGTGCTAGGTCTAATATTGTCAAATTTATCATGTAACTAACATTCAGACTACCGGACAAGATATCATAAATCTAAAATCCAAAATATGAAATTCGAAAATACATTTATAATTTGATTCCTATTGAGTGAGACATTTTTAGAAAATCTCATTGGAAAACTACAGCACATCGTGTAAGAAAAATATAAAGGATAAAAATAAGTAGTTATATGTGAATCAGTATAATCCTAATCCTATATTTATTTAGACTACCAAATAAAAAGTTTCTACATGGCAAGATTCTATATAATGCCACCACTTAGATAATAGTTACTGACATGATTGTTATGGTCTGGAATTAGATGGTGAGACGTGGCATGGCAACAGCCGCCTACAATCCTTCTGTCCGATTCTGTGAGCTCGTTTGGCCTCTATTTAGTTAGCCACTACATTTCTGTCACAAAGATTACTATAATTCTATTGATAAGAGAATTTTGAAGCGAAATAATGTTAGGGAGAATTGACAATTTGAGGAATATGGAATATGTAATTGTTTCAGTAATAGTATTTAAAATATCTTTTTTCCCCCTTTTACTGGGTCATAGATAATCACAGACAACCTCACTTGATTATAATTTGAATATCATCCTTTAGCAGGCATTGGATAGAAGGTCCTATTCTCTAGGGACTGACCCAGAAATCATTGGTGCTAAGTGAGTATATCAATCCTGTTTAGGATTCTAAAGAAATAAAACAGCACATCTTTCTGATGACAAAAAGTCAGGAGTTGATTTTCTGTAAGTTAACATTTCATACACAGGTCAGGGCAGATGCCGCTTGAAATAGAATGTCCTAAACTTCTAATTTTTAATCTTAAAATTCATCTATTTTTTAATCAACTTTTTCCAACTAGTTTGGCCGTTATTTAATTTGATGAAACATCAATTTTACAATTTTAGTTTCTTAAACATGTTTATGCTTTAGGTAGGACATTCTGTTGAAATAAAAGGCTATTTAGGAGAAAATCAGATTGTTTAAACATTGTGCATATGGGATCATGAGTGTACTAAATCCTTATCGGCCTTGATACCCCCGTCAAATGCAAAGGACACAGTGAGGAGGGGTGAAATGTCCATTTTCATGGCTGTTTCTGGCTGGACGTAGTGAAAGTCCTGTAGGTTTTGCCTATAAAGAATATAGAACAGGGATGTACAAAATAATGGCATAACAAAAGGAAAAATGGTGTGACCTAGTTTGGGTTTTTGTTTGTTTGCTTTCTTTTCATGGTGGGAAAAAGAAAGGGAAAAAAATAATCATTTATTACATTGCAATCCTCTAAATAGAACCATAGCAAAAGAATAAAATAGGCGTAACACTCTGGAGACGATTTCTGCATCCTTCTTTGATTTCCTTTCTTTACCTCCCTATTGTATAGTGCCTATTCCTTTGTGTTTAAGTCTCCATGTTTGCCTTTTAACTGTGGCATTTCCTTCTCTTAAGGACACATGAGAACAACAACAACAAAAGAAACAAAAAAGGAACAAGGTTATTCCTCTGTGCAGAGATGGATAAAATTGTAGATTCAGAAGCCCTTCTTCAAGAGAGTACAAGTAAGAGTAGATTGTTCCTTAAATCCACAACCCCAACATTTTTCTTTCATTGTCTCATTGCTCCTAATACTGACAGTTTATGAGGTGCAATTTTTGCAAACTGGAGCCTAGGCGTGATAAGTGTGTCACTGCTGGGCTCCTGAATCGCACGTTTTATAATCAGACTATAAAGTGCAATGACAGAGATTTTAAAACTAGGAGCTCTTTTATCCTTCTCAAGCTCCCCTTGCCCACCTTCTTTCTTTTTCAAAGATGTTTTACCTTGTAGCGCCTATGTTCTTATAATGACACATGAGAAGGTGTTTAAAGGTCTTCTTGAAGGTGGCATTACAAAGTGCATAGCAGGCAGGGTTGATAGTGCTATTGATGTAACAAAGCCAGTAACCGATTGTCCACACAGTGTTGGGGATGCAAGGTGCACAAAAGGTGTTGATGAGCACCATGACATTGTACGGGGCCCAAGTGATGATGAAAGCCAACAGAATAGCCAAGATTGTCCTGGTGACTTTCTTTTCCCGGGAAGGAGGCGGCTTCTTTTTTGCAGGCTGCTTAGTCATCTTCACAATCTTGCGGGCTACAATGTTCTGCTTTTCATCTCCGTTCTGACCTGAAGACCCTACTACCTCCACGGTGGTATTAGTTGGGGTACATGAGTCACTTTTTTGGGTCTTGGTGCCAATTTTGATGCAGGTTTGCTTAGAGTTTTCATCTTTGGAATGGCCCAGGGAAGTGGAAACTGTGTTTTCATCCTGGGTTATTTCATCTTCTCTCATATTAGAGGCAACAGCACTGACTGAGGTGGAGTCATTGGAGCTCTCTTTCTCCTCTCCCTGAACACAGTTTTCCGTCACAGCATCTCTGGGGGCTTTGCCATTCTGGATTTTGTTGTGCTCCAGGCCATCGTCACGGCTGGGCGTGTTGTTATTGTTTGGCTTCACTATCCTTCCTTGTACCAGACTAGGAGAAACAGGATCTTGGTTGGCCACAGGCTCCTTCTTGTCCTTCTTTATCCTGCTCTTGCTGGCTCGGGATATGTGCCAATATAGCACAGTCATGATGATCACTGGCAAATAGAAGGCTGCAATGGCCGTGCCAAAGGTGACAGCAGCATTGGAAAAAAACTGAATGTAGCACTCCCCATCCTCCACAGTTCTCACTCCTACAATGAACTGCCAGAAGAGAATGGCCGGAGCCCAGAGGATGAAAGAGAGGACCCAGGCAGCTGCAATCATCATACCTGCCATTTTTGTGGTCCGCTTGACTGGGTAGGTCAGAGGTTTTGTGACACAAAAGTACCTGTCAAAGCTGATGATGAGCAGATTCATAACTGAGGCATTGCTGACCACATAGTCCAGGGCTAGCCAAAGGTCACACACCACAGGTCCCAAAGGCCAGTAGCCAATCACAGTGTAGAGGGTGTACAAGTTCATGGAGAAAACACCTATGATAAGGTCAGCGCAGGCCAAGCTGAATAAAAAGTAATTGTTGACGGTCTGGAGGTGGCGGTTGACTTTAATGGAAACCATGACTAGGATGTTCCCGATAATGGTCACCAAACTGAGGGATCCAGCCACCAGGACAATAAACACCACTTCAAATGTCTTATACGGACTGCTAAGAGCCAGGCTATTGTTAGAGGAGTTTGTTGAGTTATTCATTTTGTGTTCTATAATCAGCAGCCAAGTAGCAAATAAACATTTAAACCTGCAAGGAAATAGAATAAAATTAACAAACATATTATAAACATTGCTTTAAAATACATACTATTGTTGTCTTTGAAACGACATAATTTTCTCCCAAATCTCCCTTCCTCTGCATGATTACTGTGTCTACCTGCCTCAATTCCCCATATAAAAATCAAGACCTTTAAATGGAGGATTCAAAAGGACCCTTCCGGCTGGCAGTGAATTTGAAGTCCAATAATGTTTTGAATATGTCCTTATCTAGATATGAGTATCTATCTACCTACCTATCTACCTATCTCATCAATGTAATGAAACTTAGTATAATACTGATAAATTGAATTAAATAAACCAAAATTACAAACGACATTTTCTAAACATCAAGAGATTTCTGGAATAGACATAAAAATTAATAAGTGAAAGGACACAGTTATGGAAGAAAGCACAGAATGTATAAAATTGAACATGTGACTTTTATAGTTAAGAGTGTCTTTCCTCATGGAAGCTCTAAGCCTTTTTCACAATAATACTGAGAATGGTGAAAAGATAATATAATAATATTTTATTAGCTAAAATACTCTCTCTAGTTTGGAGAATTATTTTCCTCTGGCCTCTATTTTATTTCATACTTGTAATCAGTATTACGTAGTCAGCGTTTCCAATATTCCATATCTTACAAAAGAATATTTGCTTATTAAATGCATACTGAACTCAATAAGCCAAAATTATGCATAAGACTTTCCAAAGCATAAAGAGATTTCTGGAATAGACATACAAATTAATACATCAACAAGAAGACAAAATTATGGCAGAAAGTACCACTTTTCTGAATCTTTTATTTTTCAAACCACTATCAAATCTACTATCTTACTATTCTTTCTGCCAACCTTTTTGTTTTGTAGAAGGAACTACGGCTCAGAAAGGTGAAATCCCAGTGTGTTCAATCATTCCTTCTTTCACTTTGTGCTCATATATCTGTTGAGCAGCTTCTCTTAATTAGGTATTGTGGACATTCAGTGATGATTAAAACAAGGTCTCTGCCTGGTGGCAGACATGGATTGACGAAGAAGCAGTTATTAATCCTGAGTGCACTTCTTGTTTCCTTATCCTGTTGTGTGTCAGGAAACCCATAATGGTCATTTTTGCGATAATATCATTGAAGTCTGGTGACAACTGAGTGATCTTTTATAAAGGAAAATGTGTATTGGGGATTTAGAAAAGAAAGTTAAGAATTCATCAGAGAAATATGAAACATTTCTGGGGAAACAGTATCTGAAGGAGAAACTAGCTCAAGTTTCACCTCTTCTTGAAAAAATCGCTGTGAGGTGTCAAAATAAGCATTACCGAGAAATTAAAATTCAGGAATATTAATTTGGATGCTATTAATTACAAAGTAATGCTATAAAAAATGAGTAGGGCAATGGTTTGCCCTTAAAATCTATGTAGAAAATAATTTGGTAAGCAACTACGTAACACAAATAATATTTCAATGAATAATTTATTCTGCTTTGGAAAGCCAATTGCTTTCCAGCATTTTCTTGGACAAAACCCGAACAATGAGATTTGGCCTTAATAAAATAAGACCCGAAATTCAGAAGCTGAAAGGAAAATATATGTAACAATTGCATATTTCTTTAAAATATTTGCATAGAAGAAAAAAGTCAAAATTAACAACTGAGAAACAATGTAAAGTACATAATAGAAAATTATTCAATGTCTGTAATATAATACAGTGTAGGGGAAAAAAGGAAAGATGAAGGATGAATAATGTAAAACATTGTTGTAGTAGTTAAATCAAAGAAGAATTAAACACTAATGACTTTTAAACATATAAAATGATACTCAACCTCAACAGTTTTTAAAGGTGCTAATGCAAACAATGAAAAACATTTTTTCCATCCATCGTATTAATGGTAGTGTTGAATACTTTTGGTGGGACTAGTGGGATAATCACTAAGAAGCGCAATTTATCTATATCTATACAACTTCAAATCTATATCTATAAAAATTTATCAAGAAACACTTGTCTCAGGAATGCCACATATAGGAATGTATCTTTCAGATATAGTCATAAAAATGTGCAAAGAGGTCTACTCAAGTATGTTCACTCAGAAATGTTGTTTTAGCAAACAAATCCCTAGAAATATTAAAACTATTCATCAACAAGAGATTAGTTGACTATATTATGGAATATTCTTACAATGGAATATTATGTAGCTATTAAAACAGGTAGATATTTGTGTCCTGGCATTGCTGGGGAAAGTTATATAGTAGAAGATGACATAGTCATAGTGAGACATAGATTATTATAGAATATAATTGTATTTAATCAAAAAGGTGATTATGTGTAATATTACATATGTATGTACTATATGTCTGCAGCTTATTGGGAAATATTGAAGAGTTTAATCAGGGAAATGATGGTAATGGAATGCAACTTAGATCAGTTGAATTACTTCAATTGCATTTCTCTTTGACTCCTTTTTTGCAATCAATCATACAACTGTGTATTCATGGTAATTTATTTGAACAAAAACATTTATTATTCCAGTTCTTATTTCAATGATTTCTTAATAGCTTATGTAACTATAAGATGAGAATTGTGATTTGCTTATAAGCAGCATTTTCTCTGTTTATTAGATCAATTCATGGGCATTTTGGAGCTGAGCTATATGTGTACCTGTTTTATGAAATGTTAATATAAATCCACTTAGTTTGAAAAATACCAAAAATCTATTTATTGGCTCTGCATTTAAATAACTTATTATATCCTAGTTTTTAACAGATTTTTGATAATTTCTTTTGGAGAATAATGAATAATACTTATGTTTAAAAGTAGGGATTTGAAAACAACTAGTTTGACCATTTATTTTATAGATTAAAAAATCATAAGAGTAACTAAGTGATTTTTCCATATTTGGTGCTAATAGTAATAAGCATTATTATTATAGAACTCTACAGTAAAAGAACTATATGACTCACTCTACCTGCATCTTATTATTTATTTATGTACTCATTCGCTTTGTTTGTTGATTATCTTATCTTTCTTTCTCCTCTTCTTATTTACCATGGGCATGTATTACTTTGTCAGTTTAAGGAAATTAACTCAAAGAAAATACAGTCTTAGGGCTCTCAAATATAGATGTCAATCATAATCCTCAAAGACATAATCTCAGATGCCAAAATCCTGAATATTGAATTCTCAAAAGATCAAAATTCCTGAGGATCTAAATTGCTAAAGTCCAAAATCCCCAAAATTATAATCCTGAAAGATTAAAATCCTGAATGTTGACATCTTGAAAGCTAAATTCTGGAAGAGGGATTAGCATTTCACTTGTATGCAGCATAGTTGCATCATGTTGCCTGCATCACATTAGATGGAACCATCACATCTAATTGTTATTGTCTTTATTTGGAAATAACATATAGTTTAAGGAGATGTATATGAGCACTAGGTTGACAAGGGGTGGACTTGTGAACTTAATTTTAGGTGTCAACTTGGCTGAATTAAGGAATATCTAAAATATCTAAATTAATATTTTATCAATACTTGTGTCTGTGAGAGTGTTTCCCGAAGAAATTCGTGTTTGAGTGAGTGAACTAGATGAGGAATTTGCCCTCAGTGTTGGAGTGCACCATCCAATTGGCAAGAGTTCAGTGAGAATATATTCAGAAGGTGGCTTGATCTCTCTTTGAAACTGTGATAGACTTTGCTTCTGCCGTGTTTGACATCAGCATTCCAGCCAGACCAGGCTGAACTCCAGGACTTACACCAGCATCCTCAAGGTGCTGAGGCTTTCGACCTCAAACTGACAGTTAAACCATCCTTCTCCCTGGTTCTGAGGCCTTTGGACTTAGCCTGAGCCATGCATCCTGGGGTCTCAGGCTTTTAGATGGTCTGTCATGGGATTTCTCAGCCACCATAAACACATGAGTCAATTCTGTTAATAAATCCCCTCTCATATATGTATATACATATCCTATTGGTTCTGTCTCTCTGGAGATTCCTAACTAATATAGATTTGGTATTAGAGAAGCTGAATATCATACTTCAAATATACATTATCTCACTTAACATTAGCAACTGTATAAAATACATGGAACAGTCACTGTCATCCCCTTTATGTGATAAAGAAAACTGAGATTGCACAAGTGGTTAAAGCAAATTTTTCTCGTTTTGCAATCACAAAGTTAATGAGAAAATAATCTACAACTAAAATCAACATCCTTATCTTGCAGTTATACATACTTGCTGTTTCCCTTCCCCTTTAAAAAATTATACTATATCCAGTAATGTGTGGAATTGTTAGGCAGCAGGACAATGATGAACTACACTCAGAGGTTGCTAGTTTAAGATATTTGGTTTTCGATAAACTGAAATTCTTGCTCAGGTAGAACACAATAAATTTATGTAATATTAACAAATTTAGTTGCTATTATAGTCCCTGAATTTTTAGAGTTATATTTCTTGATTTTACTCATGCTGTATGTAAAACTAGAAAACATTTCTCTTACAAGCAATTACAAGCAGTTGAAGGCTGTCATTTCTCTCACCATGATGCACAGGCCATGTAGAATCGTTCCTCTTCCTCTAAATAAAGTAGTTTCCTCCTGTAAATTGCACTCCAATTCTACTCTTTAAGTTTTTGTAAAAGTTTTCATTCTAGTCTGGCATTATAGCATCGTGTTAAAGCAATAACAGTTACATCATTGATGAAATAACATAATCACGAAACTACACAATGAAGATGACCTTCAAGAACTCAGCATCTTAAGACAGCAAGTGTACAGCATTAGCCAATTTGGTATTTTACAGTCTAGTTTGTGACTAAGTCCTGGAAGTACTATGGAAACTTATAAGACAACGTTACTGCCCTCAGTTTCTTCACTACTTGACTTCCCATACAGGGAAGACAGACCACAGTTTAACATCTTCCTTGAAAAGGTGTGGGTGCTAATCTTTTAATTATTAGCTGTGTGACTCTGATCATGTCATTTAGATTTAATGAACCTCAATTGTCT